CGATGATGGATTTTTCTCTCCTTGAATAGTGTTTTTTTAGTCTAAGTGGTGTTTGTTTGCTAAAGGGAAGGTAAAGAAACTAATGGGGTTAAAAGTATAACTTTGATATTTTTAGGGTGACCTTTAGCAATTTTAAGGACGACCTTTAGCAACTCTCAATTTGAATGCTCTAATATTAAGTTTGTGGGCCATCATTACAACAAGATTACTCATCCCGTAGTAAGGCAGCCTAGTTATTCTGCTAACTTGAAAATTCGTTAGTATATACTAACTAATATCCAAAATATATGAACTAATATCCAAGTCTGTTGAGTATCTAGATAACACATACTAGTATTCAAAACATCACAAACTAGTATCCAGATAGCAGATACCAACTAATATCCACAATCAACCAAGTAGTATTCAATATGGATACACTTATGTGTTATCTGGATAGTCTTAAGTGTTATCGGGATACTAATTATGTGTTATATGGATACTATTCTGTGTTATCTAGATATTAGTTTGTGAATTTGGGATAATAGTTGATTCATGGTGGATATCAGTTAGCAAACTTTGAATACTAGTCTGTGCTCTCTATATACTTTAGTACTTGGATACTAGTTCATGTATTTTGGATATCAGTTAGTATCTGCTAACGAATTTTCAAGTTAGCATATTAACTTTTCCCGTAGTAAGGATAGCTCTTTCTTTGTTCCATTCTATTGTCGGGTTCGAATTTGCTTTTTATTGTTTTTTGTCATGTGATTTTCATGTATCTATCTGTTTTTTCGGTAGTCCGAGTAATTTTTTTATATTAAAAAAACTCTAGCAACTAAGTATGTAGCTATACATTGGCAAAACCGGCAAGTGTATGAACTTTAAGACTACCTACTAATCTACTATAGTACTAAAAATCATGAGCAATCAGAAATAAATCGGGCCTATACACTCATATGTTACAGATTGAGTAACTTCTTCCCAGCTGCACATAAGCACTATGCCTTTTGTATCCCACATTTTCTTCATTGAAAATTTTCACATATTAACTACTTTCGGGAATTTTCCAGATACAACACCATTTAAAAAAATTACAAAAATAGCACTCAGCTCACAGAAATTCCAAAATAGCACCTTTATTTTAAAAACGCACCTCCAAGGTGTGGTTTACATGTGAATCGCACGTCCAAGTTGTGGTTTATATGTAAACCGCATCCTGAGAGAGCGGTTTAAGGTTCTGGGCCAAAACTGCATCTTGGCCATGCGGTTTTGTGTCTGACCTAATAGAACCGCATAGCCTAGGTGCGGTTCTTTGGCTGACCTAGCAAAACCGCACGTTGAGGATGCAGTTCTGTTTCTCTAACACAAACCGCACTCTCAACATGCATTTTTGCCCTTGCCGACACACAAACCGCACCTCCCCCATGTGGTTTGTGTGTCGTCCCCATTTTCCCGACATCCACCATGTTGCCATGCAGGTTGACAGACGTGGGGCTGCATGGCAGATGAAAACCGCACCCTCCTCATGCGGTTTTCATTGATGATTTTGCCTATAAAAGGCAGCCCCGGGAAACCTCTTCTCTTCACACCTCTCCTTCTCCCTTTTCAATTTTCTGGTGTAGCTCCCTACCAGGGGCGGAGCTAGGAATCAAGCTTCGGGGGGGCCGAAATTATTTTACACGTGTTATCAAAAAAGACAAACAAACTAAAAAATAATTATCAAAGTAAAGAAAACTAATACTTTTAATCCTCATAATTGTCCAACCCACTTTTTTAAGACAATAAGATTTACTTAAAACATGATTTAAGATAAAAATACTATGTTATTTTGACTATAAACGAGTTTATTACCAAAAAAATTAATAATGCATTCCAATGCTAACTAGTTTCATTATTTTTAAAGCTGAAAAATCAATATACACTATCTCCTAAAATATTTACTCATAATATATTTAAAAGAGTCCTTAAAAAATGTAAATACAAAGCCAAAAAGTACTCATTATAATTTCAAAAAAGTCCTAAAAACTTTGAAATGCTTAGTTTAAGAATCTAATTAATTTAAGAAACTAAAATATGGAAACTAGATGATTATATTGGAGTCTCATGCAAAGTACAACTAAAACAAGAAAAGAACAAAAGTTACTATATGGGGGATCGAACCCACACCATTTCTAATCACCCGTTAATGTCATTCCGTTAGACTAAACCACTCATTGTATTATAGTTTGCAACATTTATTATATGTATCATACTACATTTATACGTAATTTTCCATAATCGTGAACAATTTATACGTCATTTTCAAAATTCTCTGGGGGGGGGCGGCCCCCCCCCCCCCCCCCCCCGAGGCATAGTGTAGCTCCGCCCCTGCTCCCTACTTCTTTATTGTTTTTGCGGTTAACGTTAACTCGTAAGTTTATTTTGTATTACTTTTTATTGTGAGTCGAAGTAAGTGGCGCTATGTATTCGATTAAATTATTGAAAACAACCAATACGATTAAAAATTATCAAATTTATTTTATATTCCGCTAAGTACATTAGCAAAATAAAAGAAAGACAAATGATGAAGAATTGTATGTACTTCGTGTTCGTTCCAAACATCCCTTGAACGATGGTTGGGTTGGTCGTACAAGTCGGTTGAATCAATAGGTCCTTGATCAACATAATACCGTTGGTTATATATATTCACGTCGTCCCCAACCTACGAGAGAATAAAAACAAGGTTAGTACATAGATTAATTAAAAAGGTTATAACAACAACAAACATTTGGTAAAATGAGTACGTACCGCTCGTCCATTTTTTCGCGAAAGTCGGACAGAGATTCGGCGGGTTTTGAAGGAAAAACCAAAGAAAAGTTTTCTGATGGCAGATCGGACTTAGCCGCAACCAACAGACCATTATTTTCTAGGCTTTTGGGAGGGGAGGGGGATGGATAGAGAGATAATTTTAGAGAGAGAGTGAAGAATGAGTTGTGGTGTGAAAAAATGAGGGGAGGGGGGTATTTATACTTGCAGATCGCACCCTCCAAGGGCGGTTTAGTAATTTTGCCCTTGCCAAAACATCATCTGGAGGGTGCGGTTCACGTTTCACGAGGCGCAAAACCTCAACAAGGAGGTGCGGTCTTCAATCCTCTAAACGGATAGCTGAGCTGGCGTGCGGTCGCCGTTGGATCGTCGCCTAATCCAACGGTCTTGGGGGCCGCTACGTCAGAAACACAAATAGCACGATGATGATGCGTTTTTCTGGCTGACGTGGCAAGGACCGCACCTTGAAGGTGCGGTTTGAAAATAAAAGTGCTAGTTTTGTAATTTGTATGGGCTGGGTGCTATTTTGTATTTTTTTTAAAGGTGTTATTATTGGAAAAATCCCACTACTTTTCTTTCCGTGCCATCACACACTCTCAAGCCTCAACAAGACATATAAGAAATTAATAGATCCATGATTTTTAACAACTCTTCCAAATCCACGAACTTGCTCCACAATTAACTTGTCAGAATCTTGTTGCTTCAAATTTTTATGTTGATCGGACTATTATTTTTATGAATTGATTTCAGTATATATATTTTAATTTTTTTTGGTAGAAAAGTGGGACGCTAAAAGGGTGCCCCTGCCTGAAAATTTAAATTAATCAAGATTGGGCAATGCCCATAGAGTCATACAAAAGCCAAAAATTAAGCACGAAGTCATTAGACTCAACAACATGAAAGCCTAAACCAAGAGTGTGGCCTCTATTAGCTAAGTAATCAGCTGCTTTGTTTCCTTCTCTGAACGTGTGAGAGATATGAACCTCCCAGATTTGTTGAATGAGGCTCTGGAACTGCCTCCAAAGGTTATGATAGTTAGGAATCTCTGTCATAAATTATAATTATTTGAAATTTAATAAAACCGTGAACCTCCCAGATTTGTTGAATGAGGCTCTGGAACTGCCTCCAAAGGTTATGATAGTTGGGAATCTCTGCCATAAATTATAACTATTTGAAATTTAATAAAACCGTCAATTCTTATAATGTGTTAGACAATTATAAGTATTCGTTAACTTTTTCGTTAAATATGTTAACATGGGTAACGATCATGTCACATATGTTCCACTTGTCCGCCACATGAGAAAAATCAAATTTACTAATTTTATTATTAAATTTATAATTATGAACTACTAAAAAGTAAAATATAGGTTTGTAGAATTGGGGTTTCTTCCAATCCGCTACCACAAATAGGGTTTCCCTCTTGTTGAAAGCATTTCTTCTCACATTGGAGGGTCTCTTCCGTCGTCCCAGTTAAATGGGCAGTCGCCTCATCCAACTGACGGCGTTCTCTACTCCGTCTTCCCTTGTCACTTGTGAGCCTGTGCGTGCAACAGTTCAGTGCACCTCTAGCAGATTCACGCAAATTTCATCCCCCGTGGCCTCCACCAAAATCCCGTCGTCGCTTCGGAACTCATCGACTCAAGCTAATCTCGGCCTCCTCTACTTCTCCATCCAGATTTTCTACTCTTCCTCTAAGGAAAGTAAGGTGCTTTGCGACATCCTGTTGAGGAGTTTAACAAAGCATGGCCAGTCTAAGAGCGTTCTCTCTTTGTTTATAGAACAATGGTGCTGGACTCTGTTTTTTCCCGACGTAGAAACATACCCGTTAATTCTGGGTTCGTGCCCTTCGGGCTCAGAGATTGCTAACGGGAAAACGGATTTAAGGGCTAGTCATAAAATTGGGCTTGGAGTCGTCGTCAGCGGTGGAGGCTGCTGTGACAGAGATGTGCAATCGATTTGGTGAATTTCGCAATGTAAGGAATGTCGTCGATCAGCTTATGCCATTTAAGAATGTCAATCTGTCGGATGGAAATATTATTGGAAGTTCTCAAATGGGAACGGGAAGACTAGAAACTGATTTTGTTAGGAAGGCGACTAATTTGTTGAGGTTCGTTGTTGATTCGCGCTTGTTAAAGGAGGGAAGAATTGTCCATTCTTGGGCTTACACTTCCGGATTATGCAGAAACTTGTCTGTAAGTACCGCTTTGTTATCAATGTATGTGAAGCTGCGGGATTTGCACAGTGCTGGGAAGCTGTTTGTCAAAATGCCTGACAAGGACTGTGTTGTGTGGAACATAATGATATCTGCATATTCTCACAACGGGCACCCCGAGAAATCTGTGCAGTTGTTGAGAGAGATGTTGAAATCTGGGACCAAAGCTGATTTGTTCACGGCCTTGCCTGCTGCTTCCTCGATTGGGCAGTTGAAATCCTTGGGCTGGTGCAAAGAACTGCATACTTACGTGACAAGAAACGAACTAGGTTACCAGGTATCTGTTCATAATGCGCTCGTTGATATGTATTGCGATTGTGCTTGTTTGGACTACGCAAGGAAGGTATTCGACTCAATTATAGATAAAACAGTGGTCTCTTGGAGCACCCTGATGAAGGGTTATGTGAAACATGATCACTCTTTGGCAGCTTTATCTCTCTTCTCTAAAATGAACTCGGTAGGACCGCAAGTTGATTTTATAGCCATCATTAACATCTTGCCTGCCTGTGTGAACACTGGAGCACTAGAGCAAGTGAAATCCCTTCATGGCTACTCAGTTAAACTTGGTCTAAACCTTTTATCAGCTCTAAACACGGCTCTACTCACCAGCTATGCAAAATGTGGATCCATGGATATGGCTAGGAAGATCTTCTTCATCGAGGAAAAGTTCGATAGAGACATAATCATTTGGAATTCGATGATTAGCTCACATGCCAAGCACGGAGACTGGTCTCAGTGTTTTGAGTTGTACAAGCAAATGAAGCATTCAAATTTAAAACCAGATGAGTTCACGTTTCTGAGTCTACTAACATCTTGTGTGAATTCAGGTCTGGTTGAGGAAGGACGGGCATTGTTCAAGGAGATGACTGAAACCTACAAGCAAAGTCCCAGCCAAGAGCATTATGCTTGCATGGTGGATTTGTTAGGGCGTGCAGGCCTTGTGAATGAAGCTAAGGAGCTTGTGGAGAGCATGGCGTTCAAACCGGATGCACGGATTTGGGGTCCGCTGTTAAGTGCCTGTAAGTTGCACCCCAATACTACTGAACTGGCAGAGTTTGCAGCTGAGAATCTCATAATTGCAGAGCCAAGAAATGCTGGCAACTACATACTTCTCTCCAACATATATGCCGCTGCAGGGGAGTGGGATGGAGTTGCTAAGATGAGGAGTTTCCTTAGGGATAAAGGGCTGAAGAAAACTCCTGGATGTAGCTGGGTTGAGATCAATGGTCAGTCCCATGAGTTTCGGGTTGCTGACCGGTCTCACCCAAAGGCTGATTCCATATATGGGACACTGAGCTCTCTGGAGCTAGAAATCAAAGCTGCCAGAGACGAGTTTGGGAGGGAAGCAAAAGGCCTAGCTGTGGATTCTGATCTTTTCTGGTGACTTTCTTTGGCATGGACTTTCCAGGCCTGAGGTCAGCCTTCAATGAGGTTCCTATTTCTCTTTCTCCTCCGCATTCGTATCATTTGACCTCCCTAATCTCAAACGTTCTTCATTACAGTGTTCAGCTTCTCTGCGGAAGTTAAACATCTCTTACAAAAATTAGGAATAGTTCTTCACTCCTATTGGTGTTAGTTGTGCAGAGTGATTTGTGCATCTTCCAGTGGAAGAAGGGATGGAAATATGATCAACAAAAATTTCAAGAAGCGATCTTTTGAGCTGGAACCAGAGACAACTGCTTGATTCCATTCTACCAACTCGTGGGTTTTGCGCATTCGTTTGGATTGGATGCAGCCTTTCAAGCACAGATAGCCTTGAGCACTGACCAATTTCGAACCTGCCTGATTCACATTATGGAGAACACTGGAAGCTTGCTTCTTCCTTTCGTGTACCCCGCCCCACAAACCCAAGTTCAGACAATTTGCAAAAGCTGGACAGATCGTTGAACGCGACTCTGACCAATGAATTTAGCAGGAAGGCATGTACTTCACAAGTATCAGCACTAATGAGAGTGACTGCTGCAGCAGTTTCCAGGGAGATCCCATCTCTTAAAGCTACTGGAAACCCATATCTTGGTTGGTCTCGGATGGTCCAACTCCACACTGGTCCTGTCTTTGGGCACCCATGTTGGCTTCTTGGGAGTTGGGAAGGATGCCCAGATCTCTCAGAAGGGTTACTTGTTGGTAACAATGAGAGATGGCATTTCTGCTGCAACTAGCTGTGTTGCAGCATCAAGTCTCAGCCTCTGCGACTGATAGGGATGACAATCAAACCCATGGCCGCGGATATCCGACCGCCTCCGACCCAGTCAACGCGGGGAATCCCCGCATTGACTGAGTATGAGGCGGGTATGGGTAAAACCCGCAAAACGTTTGATGGGTATGGGGCGAGTATGGTTTTAGCATCCCCCGCCTCATACCCATACCCATACCCATACCTGCCCCACTAAGAACATTTCTTCACATATAACAAATATATGAATAAAATTGTGATATATGAATGATAGTAAGGGTACCCCAAGAAAATAAATATTAGAAATGCAATTGAGTGACCACCCAAATCAAAACATAATTCCTTTTCGTCAACTCTCCCTTCACTCTTTCACTTTTCACCTCGTGTTTACTAGATTATGTTAGTTTGTTATTAGTTAGTAGATGTATCAGAGTCAGAGAAGAATGATTTGTATTACATTATATTGTACTCTATCTTATGGATTAATGGATTGTTTAGGATAAGATGCTTTGAATCGTATAAAGAATGATAGTTTTTTTGTCAACTTCACGATAGTAAGTGCGTTTAATGTTATAATTGAGAATGTACTTTTAAAATTTTAGGTATTATAATGTCGGATGTACGGGACGGGTATTACCCATGGGTACCCGAAACCCACGGGTATGGAGATGGGTTTGCAAAACCTTCCCCCGCATGGGTATGAGGCGGGTATGGGTATAGATATTTGATAGCAGGTATGGGGATGGTTTAGGCAAATCCGCCCCATTGCCATCCCTAGCGACTGAAACTGTACTTGAAAACTGGGGTGATCGACTGATCATCGTGCTTATCAGGAAGCTTGCCAGACAGCGCCTTTGCTTGATACTTTACAGAGGTGTCATGGCTATTTGTTGTCTAGACTGTTTTGTTCTTGATGAAGCCAGGACGGTTTGATTGAATTAAAATGAAATTCAAGAGATCCTGTTGCTGTGCAAACCGGCGAGCACTACAAATGGTCACTAAACTATCTCAACCTGAAAATCGTGGATTCATATCCACTTGGGAGGTAGTTACTCAAAATGGTTATTTGGTTAGGACTTCGGAGAAGAATAACATCACTACATTAATGACCAATATGTTATGTGTTGAAGTTTTGTGATAATTTTGTAATATTCCGCATAATTTGGTGACCATCTGACTAATTTTGTACTCCTGAGTCCTGACTCCTAGGAATTGGCCAATTTTATCCTTCCTAAGCCCATTAGTGCTCGATCGTTCTTTCATTTAGCGAGAGTCAGTAGCGGTGGAGACCCTAGCGTTTTTCCGGAGACGTACTTCAGCTCGTTTTCCTTTTTCCTTACGAGAGGGATTAGAGTGCAGTTTGAGAGAGTTTGATTGTTAAGCTTTAAAAGTACTGGTCCAGTGGTTTGAGCGATAGCTATACTCTGGCAAAAGTTTCTCTGGCTGTACACGACAACCATGGAAAATACAGAAGAAGGTGTTCGTTCCGAAGAGGTAATCCAACAGCTCAATAACACTACTAAAAACATCGAAGAGCGGCTGGATAGTATCACGTTGGCGGATGAAGATGACTCCCCTCTGGAGGTTGAAGACGACGACGTTGATGTAGTCAGGATGGAGGCTGTGCGCCGTCTTGATTTGATAGGGCGTCTGGTAGCTGGAAAAACAACCAAACATCAAGTCATTGAAAATTGCCCTAACAAAAGCATGGAACCTGAAAAAAGGATTCCATATCACAGATCTAGGAGATATGCTATTTGCGTTTCAGTTCCTAGATGTGGACAACAGAGATAGGGTTTTCTATGGAGGGATGTGGCACTATGAAAACAATGTGATGGTCTTCATGGCTAGCTTGCTAATCAAGAAACTGATTCCAGAGGCTCTACACATGATCGATATATGGATCCAAATCAAAGAACTCCCTGCAGAACCCTAAAGATGGTAGAAAAGATAGCGAACAGGTTTGGTTCACTAGTTTGGTTTGATGACAGTACAAGCACGATGTGGGATGATTACATGAGACTCAAGGTTTGTCTATCTATCAACAATCCACTGAAGAAAGAGCTGAAACTAAGTATTGGAGGAAAGTTGATGTAATACCGGGTGAAGTACGAGAAACTCCCAATGTTTTGTTACTCCCGTGAGCGAATTGGCCAACCAAAATTGTGGTGCCCTACCTCATCAAATATGGAGGTTGATCCTTTCGGGATGGAATTGAGGGCTATCGCTCTTGGAACACGAAATTGGTTGTTCTACACAGCAAAGAAGGAGGATGAGGAAGTCTGGGCTTTACTGCGAAAAAAATTCGACATAGAAAGTGTTGGGTCAAACTCAGACCTGGAGGTACCCTTCCGGAGGAGGGACTACAGCCTCCACCTGGTTTGACAAAGGAAGGCAAGGAAAAAAACACCAAAGGAGACAAACCATGAAACAAAACAAACAGCAGAAATAACACATGGGGCTATTGATCAAGACATAAAAATGGCAGAAGAAAGGAAGGAAGAGCAGAAGAAAGAGTCAGTGAAATCATTAATCAAACAACAGAAGACTCACTACCTTGAGGCCCCGAATGCAGCGCTACTGGGAATAGGAGGAGCGGTCCAGAGGTTTGCTATGGGACCTGGAGGAGAGGTGCCACAGAGAAGAGGTCCAAACCGAGTGTGGAGAAGACAATAACAAGTTCGGGCTTGTACCTCGACACCTTTGCAAATAACACCACAGAAAAGACAAAGGGCAGAACTAGAAGCTCAAACTATGAAAGAAGTGGAGCTTCAATCACAGGGGGGAACAAAAGGCTAAGGTCCTTACTTTCCAAGATACACAAGGACACCTCTTTCCAAAAGTGCGAGAAGCTCAGGAAAACATCAAGGATGGCGGTGAGGCGGACTCTGCAAAAGAGCAGAGCCACCCAGCTCAATGAGTGTGTTAAGTTACAACTGCCGGGGACTCGGGAACACCTTGGTAGTTGGCAAGGTGAAGAGACTACTTCACCAATATGATCCCGACATTGTCTTTCTTATGGAAACAAAACAGTATGAAAAGGAGTGGAAGGAAAAGATAAAAGAATTTAGTTATTATGATGGGGATGGAGCATCAGCCGGCTCCAATAGGGCTGGTGGACTCATACTGATGTGGAAGGAAGAGGTCAAAGTGCAGGTTATGTGCTTGACAAAAATCACTTCGATGCCAAGGTTAAAATGCACTCAAAGGGTGCGGAATGGAGGCTAACAGGATTTTATGGCTGGCCTGAGAGCAAAAACAAATAGAAGAGTTGTGAGTTGATGCGTAAACTTCACCAGCAAGTTGATTTTCCCTGGATGGTTATTGGGGATTTCAATCTCCTCCAGATCATCTGGAGAAAACTGGTAGTAGGGAACCAGACCTCAAAGAGATGGAAATGTTTCGAGCAACTTTGAAGGATTGTGGTCTCGAAGACTATGGCTATTTCAGGAGGATTTTTACATGGGAAAACAACCGAGATGAGGACAACTATACTGAGGAAAGGCTAGACAGAGCAGTAGCAAATGATAAATGGAAACAGATCTATCCCAACATGAGATTGAATCATTTGGAGAGATGTGGTGCAGATCACATTCCGATTTAGATGGTCCTAGACACTATGGAAGAGGAGATAACATGGGTGTGGTCTTTCCGATACAAACACTACTGGGAGAATCACAAATATTGCAAGAAAGTGGTCCAGGATGGTTGGAACTCTTCTAAGAATGTGACTGTCATGGACAGAATCAAGAGCTGTGAAACTAAACTGCTTGGGTGGAGCAAAGAAGCTTTCGGCTCATTAAAAACCAGAAGAAACAAGGTAGAAAGACTACTCAAGAAAGTAAACCAAAGAAAACGAACGAAGACTATGCTAGAACAGAGGAAAGCCCTAGAGCGAGAATTAGATGATATTTTATATTAGGAGGAGTGCAAATGGAGGAAATGCTCAAGGGCTGACTGACTAAAAGCGGGAGATAGCAACACAGGTTTCTTTCACAAGAAAGGTTCAGAAAGAAGAATACGCAATACAATTAGAAGGCTTCTGGATGATTCGGGCAGACTTTGGACAGGCCATGAGGGTGTAGAAACTTGTCTAGTGGACTACTATAAGGGTCTGTTCACGTCAGGGGAACCTCCCTCCACGAGTCAGATATTATCAGTTGTGGATCAAAGGGTTACCCCAGAAATGAACTAGGTACTTATGCGGCCTT